TATATATATATATATATATATATATATATATATATATATATATATATATATATCAGAGACAGGAAGGGGGGAGAGAGAGAGAAACATCCATGATGAGAGAATCGTCATTGATCAGCTGCCTCCCACAAGTCCCTGAATGGAGATTGAGGCTGCAACAGGGACATGTGCCCTCACAGGGAATCTAACCGTGGTCTCCTGGATCCTAGGTCGATGCTCAACCGCTGGGCCACACCCGGCCAGGCCTGAGCATTCAATTTCTGACTGAATTGCCTGATAAATGCCCAGTGCTTAGCAGTATACTCTCAAGTATTTGAGTTGTTTGCATAGTTACTTTTTAATTCCTTATTTTAGAATCTGATTTGAGGGAGTTAATACTAGTTAACCTATGTTTTAAGATGATTATAATAAACATCTAAAATTTGATTTTCTGCATTTAAAAAAAGTAGTAATTCCCAAACAACACAAGATTTGTGTTGTATATGTGCTTGGTTTTCTTGGTACCAACCTCAGTAAGTTAGATAACTTTCTAGGTAGTAGTGAGTTCTTTTTACAACCAGCTTTTCATGTGTTACATGTGAGTCGCATATGGCAGAATAGTTAAGTCAAGATCACTGAGTTCTTGGTAAGAGGATCCTTGCCATTTTTGGAGCACGGGCCTCTGCTAAGGGACAGGAAAATTTTATTTTGTATTTTTTCTGATTTGTAGCAAGCAGTAGCAAGAGGATTTTTTAACTACCTTGAAAAACTGAAGTATGAATACCACCTCAGGGAATCCTTGAAACAGATGAATGTTGGTGAAGATTTAGAAAAAGAAGACCTCGATAGTCGTAGATATAAGTACTTGGATGACGATGGATCGATCTCTCCTATTGAAGAGTCAGCGTAAGTTTAATCATGTCAAATTTTGGTCATAGGTTTTATGAAATTAAATATTTAAAAATTTTAATGTTCATTCATCCATATGTTATTACTTTGTTCATACTTTAATAATGATGGGAGCAAAGATACAGTAGGCCATTTGGGTTATTCCAGTTAAGCTATGAGCTTAGCATGAGAGCCAGTTTTGGGTGTTAACGCGTCCAATGTAATTTTTCCCCTTGACTAGTATTGCTATTCAGTATGTCATGACCATACACTATTAGTTCGGTTATAGAAGATTTAGTCATCTGAGTGGTATTTTAATATTACAGAGGAGAGGACGAATTTCCAACAAATCCTGATCATGATGACGAATGTGATATCAAATTGGTGGTAAGTGACATTTTCCTCCCATTTCCTTTGGGAGGGTGCCTCAGTTGGTAACAGGGAGAATTTTATCCAGTAGCTACTGTTTTATAGTCCCTTTTTAATTTGGAAAGGCTTCAATGTATTTGGTGCAGGAAATGCAAGAATAAAAATATTTTAGGGATGGCTGAGTGTGACGTGGACTTTTTAATACTGTTAAGTTTTATATGTGGCATTGCTACTAGGATATCAAATGAGAATAAAAGCAGAAGTTAATTGGATTTTTAACATCTTAGATATAGTCTCCAGGGTTGAAATCACCTAGAATTCAGTTATGTGTAATTACTAAAGCAATGAAGTTTTAGTTATTGCTTAATATTGGTATCTTTTATGCAGGAGAATAATTATTTCATAATAAGTTCTGAATTACCAAAGAAGATGAATGTATATTTAGAACAAGAATATACTGAAGAACCTGCTTTGTCTAAAAAGAGAGTATCAAAGTCCAAAACATTGGACAGAAGACAGAATGACCTGAAAAGGAGATAGGAATATGAATGTCAAGGTAAAGAGACTAAAGAAACTTTACAGAGAGTAAAGCTGATGTAAATATATATGCCAGCCCAGTGATAAAACTTCTAAGGTGAAAATAAAAACTCTGAACAAATTTGTGAAATTGCTAAAGAATAAGAAAAAAATTTTTAAAGTGAAATTGTGCATGTACAAAAAATGAGGCTTTCATAGCAGAAATAATCTCTTGCAAAATAAAAAAAAGGGTCCTATTTCCTGGCCAGAGTGGCTCAGTTGGTTGCGAGTTGTCCTGTGCACCATAGGGCTGCCTGTTGGTTCTTGGTCAGGGCACACCCCTGGCTTGCCAGTTCAATCCCTGGTACGTGCAGCCAATTGACATTTCTCTAGATGAGGATTAAATAAAAGTTTTCTTTAAAAACGGTCATACTGTTTTTGCCTATACAGTCAAACCTCTATTTCAAACGTCTCCCATCTCGATTCCATTCTTACTAAGTTCACAGAAAAAGTGTCTGAGTTGCTGCTTTGTCTTTGATCTGACAACCATTTCATGCTTAAATCTCAGGCAACAAAGGAGAGAATGCTTTTGTTGCTGGCAAAATGGAGAAATTGGCACACTTAAAAGAGGCTATCAGGAGTGCTAATGTGGCTAAGAGTGTGAAAGAAACTGATCACAGGCAATTGAAGAGGTAGAAAAACTTGTTTTGGATAAATGAAAAGCAACCAGCGAAAGTGGTGATAGCATTTTGGAGGCAGTGATATATGAAAAAGCGAAGATGCTGCATGCTGACCTGAAAGACACTCCTGGAACAGTGCTGAAAGTGATTGTTTTAAGGCTAGTAGGGTGTGGTTCGATAAATTTAAGAAAAGTTTTTATTTATAGATTAAACAGTATATTAGACATGTGCTGTACATATGGTTAAGTTGAACCGTTTAGGGGTCTGGAACGGATTAATCCAATTTACATTATTCCTAATGGGAAAAAATGATTCGGTTTTCAAACAAATCACTTCTTGAACAGCCTTCTGGAACAAATTACGTTTGAAAACCAAGATTCAGCCTGGAGTATTTCAGCTGTCATTGTCTTTTTGTCACAACTGTGTATTACCAATTATACTGTATTTTAAGATAGCACTTGTGTTTTTGTTTTTGTTTAATTTGTGGACAAAGACTACATACAGGTGCAAAAAATAAAGCCTCTTTTGCAACCCAGAACTCATTGTTCGGTATGAGTTTTGATACATATAAGAAGGGACATGATACCTAAAACACGTTGGTTCCAGGACTGTAGAATTAATCATTTAGAAACTATAGGAAACGAGGGAAATACCAACCATACTGATTTAGTATTTAATTTTAATGTTGATAATAAAGATGACTTTTTTTTTATTAGGGTTTTATCTTGAGAACACAATATCTGGACTTATGTCTTATTCTTTAGGTGAGTTTTTGGATCAAATTTGTTTAAATGTAGCACATTGTCAGATAATCTAAACCTCCACAGATTTCATTAAAAGATTTTTTGCCAACTTGTTATTTCTGATTATGACATCATTTCAGAAAATGAATCACTGGTTTATAGTGATACTGTGCCAGCCTCACTTTCCTTTCAGGAAAGGGTCTGAAACTGAAAATTGGGCTATAACACTAATCAGAATCTTTGTATTCCCACTTTAAGCATATATAACATTTTAAATTAATGCATGATCTAAAATGAGGTAGATTTAATACTACAGTACTAGCAATGACTGCATTGGATGTAAGATTTAAGATGCTTTAGTTCTCAAATGGTAACAAATATAGCCACATTAAAATTTTTCCTGTATCTTTACACTTGATATCAAGTAGCTGAGAAGATACTTTATATAGATTCTCAATTCTGAGGCAAAAACTCAGTTAATTTTCTTGTGTAATCTGGGAATTTCACAGGCAACTTTGCAGTATCAAAGTTCATAAAAATCAGGACTTCAGCTTACATACGGGTGTTTTTCCTTTGGATTATCTAGAATAGCTACTTGGCATTTTGCATGTTTTTTTCAGGGGGGTCATTTTATACTCTTCTAAGCAGCATCAAAATCCTTACGTGATATTTATGGGATGATTTATTTATTATAAATGGATGTTCGACTATTTTTATAGTTTTGAATTCCAAATGGCTGAAGCAGATCAGTTCTAGTAATGTCTTCCTGTGGAGTCTTAGCCTTATGTCTTTTTATTTATTTTTAAATATATATTGATTTCATAGAGGGGAAAGGAGAGGGATAGAGATAGAAACATCAATGATGAGTCATTGATCTGCTGCCTCCTGCACGCCCCCAACTGGGGATCAAGCCCCAACCCAGGCACGTCCCCTGACTGGGAATCAAACCCCCATCGGCTGGATCCTGGGTCAAGGTTCAACCGCAGAGCCACTCACAGCCGGGCGGCCTTATGTCTTTTTTAAAAAAGTGTAAATAATGATTGAGGTCTATCCCGATGGGCCTTTTTCCGTAGACCTACATCGTTGGAAACGCCTCATAGAGTAAATGTGTTGCTTCCTTTATTCACAGAACTATGTGTTAGGTCTGTGAGAAGGAACCGCAAGACAGCTGCTAAAACTATGAAAGACTTAATAATCTAACTTTTTTTATCTTAGGTATTTGTATATCCTGGAGATCTGTACTATTCTAGGGAGTGATAGCTTAGGTAAGTTTTTAATTGATGACAGTGCAACCTTAGGGTACCTCTGCAGTTCAGATGATGAATTTATCTGTTCAACTGCTGAATGATACAGACATGAACTAAAACATAATTCTGACAGCTGAATATAGCTCTATATAGGTTTTCGTTTTTAATCACACACTCGTCAATCTTTTATTTGGTGTTTTATCTGTAGGAATGAAAGGATTTGAACTTTCTCATGTTTAGAGGTAAGTGGAACATATTTCTATTCATTTATTAAGGATTCGGAGTGCAAGTTGTAAGACCTCACTTAAGAGTGTTGATGCTTCTGCGACTTGAAGTGAAAAGATGTAGGAGGAAGCCAGTTTGACCACAGGCTAATTGATAAGAGTTCCTGTGGCATCTCAACTTTCTAACACATTGAACAAAAGGATGTTATTCAACGACTGCTGTACAACATTCCATTACTGTTGTGACTAATAGCTGTTTAGGTATAAAGCAGAATTGTCAAAATCTTGGTGAAAATGTTTGCCATAACTGTGTTTGTATACAGAATGTTGAAAAAAATGGAGACTTACTAACAGTTCCATATGGTTCATCCTAATAACATAGACTTGGATACATTAAAATAGCAAAGGAGTTCCACCTAATAGGAACAATTTGAACAACTGATCTTTATTTCTAGTGCAGAGGGAGACAGGATAAAGATAATGACTAGGTATATAGTTTATTGCATTAATGTGGCTGCTTCATTGAAATGACAACTAGGTTTTTAAATTTTATTTATCTTTATTGAAAGTACTACAGATGTCCCCTTTTTCCCCCTTGAGCCTCCCACCCAGATCCCCTTAGGCCTTCACCACACTATTGTCTGTGTCCATGGGTGATGCATATACATAAATAAGTTCTTTAGTTAATCTCTTCCCACCCCTGCCCCCTCTCAGATCTGTCAGCCTGTTCCATGCTTCTATGTCTCTGGATCTATCACAGTTGGAGATACTTGAAATAGAGGTGTTTATAGTTCAGTCACAATGCACTGCATGGTATCTGCATTCAGTAGTTTATTCCTGCTGGGTGTTCAAAGGACAGTGCGATATAAACTCAGTATCTGGCATCGTTGGTTTTCTTGGCTTTGTGCATGTTAAACCTGGTATTTTTATTGATACATTATTCCTGTAGTTTCTTACTGTTCAGTTAGACATAGTCTTCTACAGGGACTAATCCTTCTTTACTGTTCAGTTAGACATAATCTTCAATAGGAACTAATGCTTGTCTTTTTCTAGGGTGTCCGAAATTGAGAAACAAGGCAGATCCATCTACTCTGACCCTAACTGTGTAAGGCTTTCTATTTCTGTTGCTGCTAAGAGTTTCCTTTACTGATAGCATGTGTCAGCAGGAACTTCTATACAGGTGTAGAAGCCTTTTGCATAGTGTACGTACAAGTTTTAGAGAAACTTTTATAGAGCCTCATTCTAGAAGAAAATGGGCAGTGTTTTTGTACATGGTCCAGAAATTGTTAATGTGGCTACATTGAGACACAGGTTATGCTTCCATCACAGTAATTTTATTACAGTGATGACAATGAGACCTGTAACATTTTTTGCTGGGCTCAATGAGTAAAAACTGGATATAGTAAGACTTGCAACTTCAGAAACAATTAAGGAATAGTATATCTTTTACATCACCTGCTAAAATAGCAATGTATTTATCTTACTATTTAAATTCTAGGGCCCTAAAGTAAATTGCTTGAAGAAAGTGGGTCCCAGCGATTATAGGTAAGATTGTAATTTCTTCCTTCAAAGTCCCTCCTAGTTTATATAAAACTCAGTATTAATAATTTCCTTACATTTGTTTAACTCCTATACTAAGTAGCCCATCCTGGTAGTTTGTTATTACCATAAAAGACTGGATGTTAAAAAGGCCACCATGTGTCTGTACTGTTCACCAGCATGATGTTATGATGATGAGCAAAATGTTCAACTGCTCTGAATGGGCTGAGTGAAAATAGCCATCTGAACATCCATCTACATTAAATATGTATTTTAAAACATGAAAGCACTAGGATAAACGTTCCATGAAACATGCACATTTCCAAATAGCTGCCTTTGCAGTTAAAGATCAGAGTGCATTGGTTCAGTTGTGAATAGAAACGGATTAAACCTTAATTTAAAAAATAGATTTGTTCCCAATACTTAGTTGGATTGAAAACATGCTTATTCCAACTATTTGCCGTTTTAAGCCAGGAACTTGCAATACATGCTAGTTGGGAACTTGTTTTCAGGATACTTTGGACCCTAATGGACCCCATTTTGAAAAATTTAGTCCAATACAAACTTTAAAATCTTTCTCCACAGGTGAGGAGTTTTTGAAGTGTGTCCATATTCAAGTGTAGATCAAAGAAGCTCAACTAAAAGAATTGTGGCAAGTTATTTATCTTTATCTTACCACACCAAATTATTTGTCAAAATATAATGGTCATTACCAAGGCTTTTAGAATGCAGTTTCTCATTTGCCGTGGACATGACCAAAAAACATTTTCCCATTAGGTTTTCTTTTTGCTACATTGGTAGCATTCCGCCGACTGGGAACATTTTATTAACCCTCACTTATTTTCATTGCCTAGATCAGTACTGCCCAATAGTAGTATTTAAACACAAGTTTTATGTGATTTTTGTAATAGCCATTGGTAATCTGAGATTTTACAGTAGCTGTCTTAGATCTCTGGAGTCTTGCAGATGTCCTTTGTCTAACTAATCCTTTTAAGTTGCTAGTGACCAGATACAGTTTCTGATCACATGATCATCTCTATTCATGTTATATAGGACTGACTGAAATGACAACTGGATTGAGCAGAAAAGGTATGTACACAATAGTAAAGTATTAATTTATAGGTCATTTCAAAGAGAGCTTATGGGACCAAAACCAGGAGCTCTTAACGCTATGACCTAAGACTGAAGTTCTCCATAGGATGTAATAGACACTCAATAGTGCTATGTTTTCCTGAGGAGATACAAGAAAGTAAATAAATGTTTTGCACGTTTAACCACTACCTACTCTTCTTTTTTAGGGATTGAGACTCAAACTCTGGAGGAACTAAGGCAGTGGAAGAATTCAGAATGTGTGAAATTACTTAAATAAAAATTTATTAACTTAAATAATTGTGCCTATATTACAAATAATAAAAATCCTTTACACTTTTTGTAGATGTCAGCATGCATTTTTGGCTCGAAGTTTCTCCAGTGTTTTCTGTGGAGAGAATGAAAGTAAAACTTAGTAATTTCAGCTGTGGTGTACCTTTAACATGAAAAATCACTTTGCACCCCTGCTCACCTTGTGAAATTCTTTTGCCCTTGCTCTGTTCTGGGCATAAGCTTCTAGCTTTGCTTTCTCTTCCTTTTGCTGTTTCACTTCAGCTAACCGACTGTGTAATCTGTAAGAGATTTATATCAGAATTGAAGGTGGGTGCTTCAGGTATGTAAATATTTTCAGATAAGCACATTACATCTACCTTAGAGCCCTCTGGTGCCTGAGGGCTTGTGCAGTCTGTCTGTCTTCGGGTTTGTTCAAGATCTTTAGGCAACTTGCAGATGAACCTGAGCAGAGAACAAGTAATGTAAGCCAGATCCAAGTAATCTGATAGATAAACCAGATTCCCTTTCTGAAAACTGATAAATGTTTTTGGGAACATACCTGTAGGCTTCCCCTTAATTACTTGGCTTTCAGAAGTTTTAAAGACATGTATTTTATTCTTTATTTCTTTCTGTCTCTGGCAGGATCTCTCTATGAATGATTTTTTTCTCTTTACAAATGCTTCTTGTAAGCTTCCTGGTACAGGTGTAAAATTTGGAAGGGTTTCTGGTAGAAAAAAAACTGAAGCTATTTTCACCTCATTTAACTTTATAGGCCAGCAACGGGCAAGACTGGATCACAAACTTGGGTAGGGAACTCCCACTAAGCCCTTGGGTTCACTGACCATTTCAGATGCTCAAGGCATACCTGCAGGTACTGCAGTTGGCTTCTCCATAGAATGCTCTGACACAGGTGGATAATCTGAGTTTTCTGTTTCTGATACATGAGGCAGAAATTCACTCACCTAATTGGAAGAAAGCCGTAGATTAATTTACCAGTTTCACTTCAATGTACAGCAAAGCTTTAGCTAAACCCTGCTTCAACAGCTTTAGGACTGAATTTTCTGGCAAGGGAAAGTCCTTAAATGTTTTTTTTTTCCTACTAAAAATGTCTTATTTGACCAGCACTACTAGGGAACAAATTATGAGCCTTCCACCCCTAGCCAAAAGCTTTAGTTTTTCCTCACCTGATTACTTATATCTTTGAGAAGTGAACTCCAGCCACAAAAAGATTTGCATACAATCAATGAATTCATCTATCTGGAGCCCTTACTAAATTAGAATTAATTATGAGCCAGGCAAGAAGCAAATGGTTTGCTTGTAGTGGAAAAAAGGGAATGTGCAGTCAATAGAATTTGAAATATTTTCAAAATAAAGCAAAAGCACTTACTCTACATCCACCCCAGTTCTGGATTTCCTTACCTATCTTCTAGAGCAGGGGTGGGGAACATCTGGTATAAGGCCCGTGAAATCATTTGGTCTGGCTCTGCCAAGGCTACCCCAGGCAGGATTCAAAATTTAATCTAGGAGTTTTTCATTGCTAATTCTGTATGGACCTCAAGTTATGTTAAATATCCAAATGGCCCTTGGCAGAAAAGATTCCTCCATCAGTTGTAGAGTATCTCACTGGGGAAAGGAAGGCAGGAGTTCCAACCCAAGTCAGAATGAAACCTATAGCATCAGAAATACATATATTACCCCGCTGTGGCTTAGGGGTTGAGCATTGATCCAGGAGATCACAGTTCCCGGCCTGGGCACAAACAGCCCGGGTTTCCGGCTCAATCCCCAGTAGGCGGCATGCATGAGGCAGCCGATCAACGATGCTCATCGATATTTCTACCTCTCCCCTTCTCTGAAATCAATAAAAATGTATTTTTTTAAAAAAAAATACATGTATTTAAAAGGAGCATTTGAGATCTTGTTCCCTGGCATGTGTCACCAGTTTGGGCTCAAACTCATAAAAATTAAAAATGAACATATTTAGGACTATTACACGCTACAAAACAATGTTATTTAGGGGTTGAGAGGCTTTTCCATTTCCTGTCAGCTGTCAGTTCCTGCTGTGAGCACATTAAGCCTCTCCTATTCCACTCTGTAGCTACTGCACTTGCAGTAAACCACAAAAGTGGAGAAGGAAATTTGTTTGCAAATAATTCTAATGAAAGAAAAAAAATGCCATGTGGAAAGAAAAATGAAAAAACTAGTATCCTTTTCTGTTCCCCAATTCTCAGCTATGGGATACTGTATAAATAAGGTATATTAGTGAGAGCTATGATATTTACCTGAAAACTTTTTGTCTCTTTCTTTTCTTCTAGGGTTAGGTTTGCAAAATCCATTTCAGCAATACTGGTATCACTGGTGCTTATTAATGTAAGTTCGGGTTCTTCCATTATACCACGGCCAGACTCTGTCTCCTGTGCAGTAAAATTAATAAGGAAACCGTGTCCAAAAATAATAGCCTTAAACATTCAAGATGTGAAAATAATGTACATTATGGAGGAAGAACAACAGAGCACAGCAGTGCACCCCCACTTTCAGAAATACTGAAGAGGATTCAGGGATGGGTGAAATGTAATTGTCTGAAAATATCTTCTGCAAGGATTACAAAACTAAAGGATTGCAGGGCTAGGGAGATAAGGTTATTCGGGACTGAAGAACCAGAAGGTATAGCCTGTCTTAAGGGAGCAGCGCTAATGGGCTGCAGGCAAATGTAGGCCATTGCTGCCAGAGTAATTTTTTAAGGGAAAACATTGAACGAGAATTTACAAAAGCCAAATCTCTAGATGTTGCCCTTATTTTCAGTCTCTACTATGACATGCTTATGTGTGGAAGGACAAACAATACTATATTCAGATGATGAGTTGAAAGCAAATAGATCAATGCAGCAATTTTCAACCCGTGTGTCACAAGAAATTTTAAGACATGCAATACCTGACTATTTAGTCAGGGGCAGGCACTCTTTCCCCTTAGGTTGTCAAATTAAAAAATGACAACAGCCAACACAACAATAGCCTTCTGGTGCGAATGAATCTAAATTATACCTATTTTTTTGGTCAGATCAACAAAAAACATTTTGTTGTGCCACAGAATTTTAGTAATTAGTTTATGTGTGCCATGAGATGGAAAAGGTTGAAAATAGCTGGATTAATTCAATGCAGTACGAGGTCAAACACTGAACATGCTGAAGCAGAGGCCGGCCACCATTCCTCAGGGAAACTGAGAAGGGATATATGCACTGGGAGGAAAATCTTTTGTAAAATTCAGAGATCTCCAAATCTGGAGATTTCTGGTAATTATGAGATTGACTATCAGGTTTATCAACAAGCAGCTCTGCTGTTTCTCTTGAAATCTGTTTCAAAACTCTCTCTGGATTTGGACTTTTTATGCCTTCTGCTTAATATTTTTGTTGGGTATTATTTTACCCTCCCTTCTTGCCTTTGACTAAATTAAAAATATTTTCTGTTTTCATATTTCTTTTTATTTTCTGCTGTTTTGGAAACTATGTTTTATTTCTACTCTATTAATAATTACCTTTAAATTTATAACATGCATACTTAACTATATATATGTATACAAGTATGCGTGTATATATATGTTTTTGACCAGTATCTTAACAAAATAAAAACACAAATATTAGTTTAAAAAAAAAAGTCATCTTAGCAAACCACTTTAAGTGCTGTTTAGACAATACAGATTTCACTCACCCAGACTGGAATAGAGCTCTGTAGTGAAAATGATCCAGAACTGAAAAAGAGCTCTGACTGTGATGGCTGAGATAGGTTTGGTATGATTTTTGGAGTTTCTGCTTTAGTTGAGTCCTCAAAATACTTTTCATTCTGAATAGTTAATGAATATGGGATCTGAACTGAAGTTCCCATCTCCACTGTTCTTACACATAATTGTGAGTCAATTTCCTGTACATGTGGATTTACATGGAAAATTCCACAGGTTTCACTTTTATCTTCTTTAGTGAGTCCTTGACTTTGTAACACTTTATCAACCCCTCTTTCTGATAGTTCTTCAAAGCTCAGTCCTTCTTTTTGGCCTTCTAATTGGTCTTTCATGGAGCACTCGCTAGAAGTAGAACCACATGGAGTGCTATGCGATAAATTTAACTGATGAAATACATTAGCCTCAGCAGATGAACTGAAGACTGAACTTTGCAAATATCCTACAGAGAGCTGAAAATGAACATTTTCCCCCTTATTTTGTAATATTTCAGTAGGTTCACAGGAGTAGGTCTGATTTTCCATGCCTTGGGAAGAATCTCTTGCTTCAGTGCTAAAAATACTTGGTAGATTAGCATGCTGGCTTCCCGCTTGTGAAGAAAATTCTGGCAGAAGCTGTTGAAAAGGTTTTTCAGATCCTGCAATAAGTTTAAGAAATCAGTTAATCATCATATGTTATAAAACTTGGATATAGATACAGTCCCTAATACTTTGAGCAAATTACAAAGGTTATTTTAAATTTTATTTGCAAATTTAATTTTAAAGTTTTTAAATGTTTTCAATAACTGGTTATTTTTTAAAAGGTGAATATGAAACACAGATAACACAACCTAATTTATCCAGGAAAAATAGCATTGTCCCCTCTCCATGAAATTAAATCATAATTCCTCTCTTGAATATAAAACTATCTTAAAGAGTTCCTACAATTTTAGGAATATAAAACTATCTTAAAGAGTTCCTACAATTTTTGATGTATGTAAACATAAATAAAAAGCTAAAGGATGGTCACAGTGATTTTCAAATAACTCTACTGCTCACATCATGTATCTTCTCTTATTATTTGATAAAAAAATATGGCTCTTCGACACAATGAGATTTTCCTTCATAAGAGAACCAAATATTGATGCTGTTCTAAGACTTAAAACGTGCATGTGTATCTCGTGTGTATTTATGTATATATAGAATTTGTACAAAAAGTTTTAGGATACTTAAACTGTTGGCTGTAAGTGTTGAGGTAGGGAAGCTTAGCAAGAGGCAGAACTTTATCAAGTTCGCTACTGTGAAAATTGCAAAGTGAGCATATATTACCCTCTGTTATTGAAATGAATACAAAAGAAACAGAATGAGGCAGAATTTCCAAGAAAAATGTATTGGGTTTTAACTTTTTCCTAACTTAACATACATACCCTCAATAATATTTTCTGTGCCAAAACTCAGAGCTGCAGTGTGAGCCAAGTTAGGGTCAGGTTGCTGGCTCAGGCTTGTGTTCAGAGGAGAATGCAGGCTGGCCCTCCTCAGTGCTGTGAAGGAAGCTGTACTTTTGGAGGATATAGCTGCATGGTGGCTTTCACATGAAGCATCTGAGCTCTGATGGAAAACAGGGAAATGCTGATTATGCATTACAAGTAGAGTCAATAATCATGTTCCTTTGATATTACTCTTCTTTATTTTTATTAAATATATCTTTATTGATTTCAGAGAGAGGAAAGGAGAGGGAGAGAGAGAGAGAGAGAAACATCAATGATGACAGATTCATTGATCGGCTACAGCCCGCAACCCGGGCATGTGCCCTGACCGGGAATCAAACCCTGATCGCCTGAATCCTAGGTCGACGCTCAACCGCTGAGCCATGCCCGGCCGGGCAATATTACTCTTCTTTAATTGCCACTTGACTATCACACGAATAATTTCCTTACTCAAAACCAATTCTTCCATTTCAGTCGATATGATATGAAAGAGACTTTTTGAAAGATTATTTACGAAACAAGTTACAAATTAACCAGACTGAGTTTAGAACATGATGAAATCATTTTCTGATAAGCTGGAACTATGTACAGCAGCCCAGGATGCCCAGATGTGGAAGTAGAAATACCCAGGTTTGAATCTTAACTCCTTTACTGGGTAGAAAAAGATTTTTAAAATTTTGCAAAATTATGTTTACTTGAACTTTTTAAGACTGAATTCCATTAAAGTAAATAAACAAACATAAAAATATTCTCAAGTCTTTTGTGAGTCATTTTCCCTAGCTGGAAAAAGGCTGATAGAACAAAATTCTAATGCAGCTATTTTCTTTTTTTAAAAATATGTTTTTATCAATTTTTTAGAGGGAAGGGAAGGGATAGAGAGAGAGATAGAAACATTGATGAGAAATATCAATCGGCTGCCTCCTGCATGCCCCTACTGGGGACCGAACCCACAACCTGGGCATGTGCCCTGACCAGGAACTGAACCAGCAGGGCGACCTTTTCGGTGCATGGGACAATGCTCACTCCACTGAGCTACACCACACCCACCGGGCTAATGCAGCTAATTTCAATCTCGGCTCCACATAAGAATCACCTGGGGAGCTTTAAAAAAAAATGCTAATATCTGAGCACTCCCAGAGATTCTGATTTAATAGGTCTGGGGTGCAGTTGGGCACAGGGATTTTTAAAAGCTTTCCACATGACTCTACTTGGCAACCAAGATTAACAACCACTGTTCTGTTCTAACAGAAGAAAAGATGACAAACTGTTCTTGGAAATTCAGTGAAATGAAGCATCTACTTCAACATACCTGGTAAATGTCTCTGCTTTCTTGAGAAATCCCAGAGGATAATGACAAATCAAAATCTGGCTGCGGTTCTAAGGGTTTAAACAGCTGACAATGCAAGTTGGGAAAAACGTATTCCAGTTCTGGAAAGTCAAGGTCAACTGCTGGAATTTTAAGGAAAAAAAAGGAATTTTTATTTTTAAAAAATATATCTTTATTGATTTCAGAGAGAGGAATGGAGAGGGAGAGAGAGAAATAGAAACATCATTAGAGAGTCATTGATCAGCTGCCTCCTGTACGACCCCCACTGGGGATTGAGCCTGCAACCCAGGCACGTGCCCTGACCGGGAATTGAACCAAGATCTCCTGGATCATAGGTCGATGCTCAGCTGCTGAGCCATGCCGTCTGGGCAAGAGGAATTTATTTTTAAAATAAAGCCTAGAAAAGTAATACTAAGAACATAAAAATTCGTAATTCATAAAAGCTTATTTTTAGGTAAATCCCATTCAACAAAATTCCTTCCATTTTTTTCATTACCAAAGGTGTTTTCAAATTAGGTCCTATCACTACTTACTTACATTGTAAAAAACATGGAAGACACTCTCAATGACCAAAATTTGACAAGTATGTCTCCATTTATACCAGGCCAAAGTTTTATGAGGTTAATTAGGCGTAAGGCCATTATGATCATTGCTTTGCTATATGCTTTGTTATTCTCACTTATCTCTTTTCAGGTCAATGATCAAAAAAAGAAAAACTGAGTGTCACTATGGGCCAGACATTGTACTTTATGTACATTATCTCAATATCCAAGATCCCTCTTTTATAGATGAGAGTATCTTGCCCATGGTCTCACAGCTACTAAAATGGTCAAACTAGGAGTCGAATCCAGGTCTGCCTGATTGGCACTATGGCCCTCAAGCTGTTATAGCTAACTTTGCAACAGTAAAGGAACATCTGCTGAACTCTTCTTCCATGTGTTCTTCTGTGAGTCTAACTGGTTCAAGTCCCCTCTCTCTCTAAGTGCCCTCAACACTGTCCATGGCATACCTGTGCTGCAGCAGGCCATGAAAACATGGAGCTCAGTCACTACTCAACACTAAAAAGGATAAAGTTACAGTTTATATAAAGTATTGGTCCAAAATAATTTTACCCTGCAGGTCTGATTTTTCAGTCATCAAACTTGCTTCATTTATGTACTTGTCTATTGTCCGCTGAATGTGTGCTTGACCAGATGTAAATTTTTCCACTGCAGGTGACAGAGGTTTATGAACATCCCAAGAGTCCTGCCTTTGATCAGTTACTTGTGCTGGAGGAACCGCAGAACTTAAAATAATTGCTGCTGCTTCTTTGCCAGTTGTAGATTCTTGATCCCTATGGTCCACATGCTCTGAAAATGACTCTGCAAATTGAGATTAATGAAAATATTTAATGGCTGGGTACTTCCTTAGAGAAAAATTTTGGTGAGAGACATAGCAATATACATTGATAAAGGATCAGTGCAACCAAGAAATATGCTTCCCACTGAATAGGAAAATGTGACATTAGTGGAGACTTCTCAAAGTATTGTTGAGGATCCAAAGAGCATCCTCAAGGGTCTGGAAGATTGTAATTTCCAATCGTGTTTAGAATATCATATTGTCCAATATTCTATCAGGCATAAAAACTGTACTTCTGAGATTTAAAGAAATAATCCCTCTCAGTACAGTGTGAAAAGCAATGCTTACTCTCACTACTGTATTGCAATTGTACTGTGCTGGTCTTCCAATTTATTTACAGACATTTTGACATTATTACCTGGATCTGTAAAGCTCAAATCTGTGTTTTCATTACTTAAGCTCCCAGTAGAAATAGTTATTGAAGATAATGGCTCATGATAAATGTCTTGTGTTTCAGCCTAGAAATAAGGGGAATATTAGACCACAATGTAGGAAGTAATATCTAGAAAAAACCCAAACCACCAACATCAGCAGTTATCAATTCTGAGCTCAGATCAAGTGTAAAAACTTTCATAATTACAAAGGTCAGTACTCAAACCTTGTCATCCTTGCTCAGAACTGACCAGCCTTTCATACACACATGTCCTCACCCCCAATCTCATTCACCCATCAAGTCCTCAGTTATCCACTGTCACCTCTATACACACACACACACACACACACACACACACACACACAGAGTTTTAAACTACTTTATACTTTGCTTCTCAGAACTATAGAGATCATGCATCAGGTAGACTGGAAGGTCTTCTGATGCTCAGATTTGGCTATTTTCATCACTGATCCACTTCAGTAGGAGCAGATCTCAGAAAACACACTCTTTAGGACAATGGTACCTTGGTTTTCGAATGTACTTTGTTCTGGAAGACCGTTCGAGTTCTGAAACATTCAAAAACCGAGGGATCAATAACCAACAGCTAGGCCTCAGGACCTTGCACTCAGCAGAAGCCGTGTGGCATGTTCAACTTCCGAGGCGTGTTCGAAAACCGAAGCATTTATTTGTGGGTTTAGGGCGTTCGTAACCCAAAATGTTTCTCAATGGAGACGTTCGAAAACCAAAGTACCACTGTATTTCACAACTTCTGTGAACTAAACAAAAAAGAATATAAAGCCAAAGAGCTCTAACAATGTAGTGCACACTAAGACATTACTTACCTTATTATCTGGCTTCACAGCTGGACTCAGGTATGTATGTTCTTCTCTGTCCACAGCATAACTTAATACTGCATGATTCTCAGCCACAGCCTCCTTGACGGTGACTGAAATGGGGGGAAAAAAAGATTTGGATTATGATAAACCAAATTCTTAGCACTAGAGGGTATCATTTCCTGTTTTCCTACAATTTTCTTTCATATTTTGCTTTGTAGAGTTGCCTTATCTTAGACTAAAACACAAACAGAAAAAAACATTCATTTTATTATTCAAACATTTACTAGTCAGCATAATATACTTTTTCCTGGAAAACTAGTTGTCAGCGTTACTCCATGAATAAAACTTTTTTTTTTAAATCCTCACCCGAGGATATTTTTTCCATTGCTTTTCAGAGAGAGTGGAAGGGGGAAGAGAGAGAAACATCGATATGAGAGACACACTGATTGGTCACCCCCCGCACGCGCCCCAACTGGGGTCGGGGAACAAGCCTGCAACGGAGGTATGTGCTCTTGGCTGGAATCGAACCCAGGACCCTTCAGTCCACAGGCCAACATTCTAGCCACTGAGCCAAACTGGCCAGGGCTGAATAAAACCATTTGAAGAGAGCCCTATAACGTACCCAGAAGATCCTCCGGAGAGATGAGTGAACAGGGTAGCGTCTGAGTAGTGGTAAGAAGCGAAAAATAAAAGTTGGAGAAAGGAGCAAGGTCAGTCATTTAAGACACTGAAGAATTCAACAAACAGGTCCCTGAAAGTAGCTGGAAGAAAAATGACTGTCATTGCTTTGGAAATGGTTCACTGGGAGTAGGGACCCATTAGGAGGTTCCTAAAAAGGGGAAGTAACATTATGAAAAAAGGTCTTCAACACAGTAATCTTCCCATGCTATGAGGAAGGCAACAGTTCTTCCTTTCCTTCAGGAGCAAAGCACCATTTCCTGCCTTACGACAAAAGCAACGGGTACAGAGCTTGAAGGTAGCATTACCACCTAAAAGCTATTACAAAAGGTGAGGTGATGAGGACCTGAATAAAGTGGTAGGTAGGGAATGAACACTCCCTTCTAAGAGAGAACAATACAAACCTGGGGATGATTATGAGGAGAAAGGCAGCCAGAGAGCAGGAACTGATCTGGCACTATCTATCAGCTAGACCTTTGTGTTCTTGTGACACATAACACTTCCACAGAACACCACTATCAGAAAAGGCCACTCTGTGACCACGATGGATCAAGGCAAAAAGCAGACCACGTGCTCTCATCTCTGAACAGAGACAAAATCACGAATATAGTCCAGACCACAAACACAACTAAGCATCTCATCCTGGCTAATATGGTGACTGCTGCTTCTTTACCAGTTATAGCTTTAATCAGCCTCACTCCATTATTCCGACCTCATGAATAAGAACTTTTTAGGTACCCCAAAACAGAATTACCCTGCTCCCTGATACCATCCAATACTACTAATAAAGTTCCATTTCCTTGAATCTTCCTCAAAATCACCTAATAGAAGCCCAAATCTTACAGTAAGTCCTCTCATTTTGATTTTACTGATTTGAGTGAGAGAGAAAGAAAGAGAGAGAGGAAACCGATTTGTTGTTCCACTTTTTTATGCATTCATTGGCTGATTCTTGTATGTGCCCTGACTGGGGATCGAACCTGTAACCTTGGCATATTAGTACGACGCTCTAACCAACTGAGCTGCCCAGCCAGGGCCCAGTAAGTCTTTCCTAATACCCTCTTATTGAGACTCTCACTGTTTCCCACAGTGGCCGCCTTCATTACAACAAGTTAAAACTCCCAGCTTTGTTCAACCACAGGTGCATTTCTGGTAGTCTTCAGCTAGAGAGCATCAATGGGTAGAATAAATTTATCCTTTAGCTAAATCTAAAATAATGATATAACAGTTTTACTTTATGTGTTAAAAACTATAATTCATTGGAAACTATATCTTCTGCAGTTACTTCAATTTCCAATTTAAAAAAAAATGCTGAAGTCAATTTTTCTGTAAACCCTCAACAAGAGAACAAGTCTCTCTCATCACTTATTCTATTAAACTAGAGATGCAACTAAGATAATCACTCAAGTATATGTGACAACTAAAATAAAAAGGAATCTGGTTAGAAAAGGTAACTACTTAGAATGTGCTTTAGAACTAATAAAGCAGTACTAGAACTATGCTTCGTATGGTTAGTAAGCATGCTATACATGTGAAACAGCTTGTTACATCCATGCATAAATTAATTAATACTGGTTGTCTTTGGGTGGCAGAATTAAGTGATTTAATGTTTTTGTTTTCTTATAACCCTCTTTATTTTCCAAATATTTAGAAGTAAACAAAATAGCTCATTTAGAAAGCCACATGTAGAATTTTTTAAAGATAGTATTTAACAGTAATTAATTAAATGTGAATTGTTATGAATAGGCTTAAACACAAAATTTGTAGAGGTTGCCAACTATAAAAACCTCATACCTTCAAATACTTCCTACTAGCATTTATTTAGTGAAACAATTGAAAAGTAAAATTAACTATTCTTTAAATAAACTTCACTTCCCTCATTCAACTTTTTCTGTATAGAACACACATTTTTTTAAAAATCTACAGTTGAATAAATAAAATAGAAAGTGAAACCAAGTCTCCAAAAAAGGTAAACCTGTACCAACACTTTGGTGATGATCATCCAGACACTTTTCAATGCATTAACACAGATTTCCCTGTCACTTAACACGACACAGAATCGCATGGTATGGGCGCACCATAATGATTCTACTGCCAACAATCACTGAAGTTATTTACCATTTTTTATTACAAACAGCACTACAATAAATATTTTTTGTCCACACACCCTTGTGCACAGAAATTCCACTTTCAACTTCTTTTATCTCTCACCTGCTTTATTAGAGTCGTCACCACAGACATTCTCCTGGGCAATCGAGTGAGGATGAACAAATGGGTCACGGTCCAATGGGGTCCCAAGGAAACTTTGTTCTCGACTTATAGAAACCCTCAGGGGGTCTCTGTCTTGATAAAAGTCTGTTTTACCTGGTAGGGAAAAGGACTTGTTAAGACTTCTACTTACGTTTCTAGCACTAGCCAAAACTAAAATAGCAATTTTGATTATGGGGTAAAATTCTTAACTCTTAACGACTTTATGTAGCAAGAAAATAATAACTACTTATCTTTCCCATAGGCTTTTAAATTATTTTACTTCAATTTTACTGAGTTTTTAATGGTATACCTACTTAATACCAGATAATGCTTCAGTACTGAATCACAGGAAAAATGCCTGGAGACTTTACTAATCATTAATAGTACTATGAGATATCTCTTCATAATACAAAGTTCAAAAATAGCCACAGTTAATCTGTGGTATGAGAAATCAAGAGCAAGATTAGGACAGAGTATTACCCTGGGGACAACTGAGTGGACAGTAATGGAGAGGGTACAAAGGAAGGGCTTATGTAATTCTAAAACATTCCAATTTTTAACTAGGGTGGTGTTTACACGGGGTGGTTATTACAGTGATAATCACTGAAATAAACACCTATGATTTATGCACTTCTCTGAATATTATATTTTGCTACAAAAATAAAAACAAGCAAGCAAAGGAGTGGGAGATTCCCAACTGTAGAAGCTAATTTACTGAGAACCCCACAAAATTTGGGAATTAAAGGCACCAGGTATTGCAAAAGGATGGTGTGTGTCAGGAAACTAAAAACTGGGAGAATGTTTAAAACTATGTACTTGGAACAGATCCCTCCCATCTAGGGACATCCCTGTCCTTCAACATCATCCCCAGAAGAGACTACAGATTTAGTCTCTGAAGGAACTGAATCTAATACATTCTGAATTCAGGGGGATCAGGCACTGAAAGGTGCAAGGGTAGAAGGAAGAGATAGAATGCCATTAAAAAAATCAGGGGTATTAAAAGAAAGTCTGCATCCCCCAGATCCCCCAGGTCTGCCAGCAGCCAGGCTTGTATCAGGCTTGAAGGTCTTTCTTTGAAGAACTACAGATACTAATTTGAGGGTCCCCAGTGAAAAGCCACCTTTTTCAGTGAAGTTCAGCAGTACATAAGGCCCCTGCCTACAGAATTTCCAATCAGCCTTTTAGCATCCTACTCCAATATGCAAGCTTTTAGAGAAACCCTCTAAAATACCAGTCAGAAACAACAAAAAAAGAAAGAAAAGAACTCAGACAAACACAGAAAATATAGGAACCCAAACAAACAAAAAACTATACACACACACACACACAGGAGGTAATATTTTGCATCCATGAAAATAGCAGGATGCTATGAAAAAGAAAAAAAATCAGGAAAAACAGCAAGCTTTTAGAAACTACAATTTAATAGTCAAAATAAAAATTCATAAGAAAAGTTAAAAGAAAAAGTTGAGGAAATTCTCCCAGAATGCAAAGTTAAAAGAAAAAGAAATGAACTATAGAAAATTGGAAGATCAAAACAGATTAGTGCTTCTCGACATTACTTTCATCATCATCCACCTAAGGAGCTTTTAGGCTTTTAAAAAAATTGCCTTCTCCCCTAGCCAGTTTGGCTCAGTGGTTAGAGTGTTGACCCGCCAACTGAAGGGTCGCGGATTCGATTCTCATCAACTGCACGTACATCGGTTTTCAGGCTCAATTCCTGCCCCAGTCGGGGCTCTTGGGGGAGGCAACTAATCGATGTCTCTCTCTCTCTCACATTGATGTTTCTCTTGCCTCTCTCCAACCCTTCTGCTCTCTCTCTAAAAAAAAAAAATATCAATGGAAAAAATATCCTCAGGTGAGGATTAACAAAACAACAAAATGTCTCCTAACTCCATGAACTTTTAATAACTATAGATATTAAAGACTTTTTCACCTCCCCAAGAACCAATTTTCATCCCTTTTGGAGGCAATAATACTGTTGTTAAAAATGCATGATATAGGTCATCCAACTTTTTTTTTTTTTTTTTAAATATATCTTTATTGATTTCAGAGAGAGTAAAGGAGAGGGAGAGAGAGAGATAGAAACATCAATGATGAGAGAGTCATTGATCGGCTGCTGCCCGCAACCCGGGCATGTGCCCTGACAGGGAATTGAACCCTGATCGCCTGGATCCTAGGTCGATGCTCAACCGCTGAGCCATGCCCGACTGGGCGGTCATCCAACTTTCAACTAAAAGATATTTCACAGAGAAAAAGGTGTGATCTCAAATTATATCAGAGGTATTTAATAGAAGTATTAGTGTGGGAAGACAAACATTCAACAGAAGCTTTAAGCAAATGAAAAAAGGAGAAAATTTACAATAGGAAAAGTTTTACAGTTAATATAGTCACAGTATACTAGTTGTCTCAACAGTGAAAAAATAGATCAGCATGATGATAATTTAGCTTATATTTTGCTAAAGTCCACTGCCAATACAAGGAAAATACAAGAAACACTTAAAGACTTGTAAAATGACTGCCTCTAGAGAGTAGATTAGGAGTAAGGGGTGTTTAGGGCAGGAAGAAATGCTGTTTCATGTTCTAACCTTATGCCAACCCTGAAGGGAGGAACAGGATCATGAGGGGCCTGGTAGGTGAAGCTAGGACTAGACTTAATTGGAACTTATTCCTCTAATCAAAGGGAGACTACTGAAGGGTTTAAAACAGGTAGAAATAAAGGGAGATTACTCTGAATATGTCATGTGAAAATGAATTAAAGCTAGATTGGAACCAAGGAGACACTGGGAGATATAGCAGCCATTCAATAAAGAAATGATGGTGCGAATTAAATGAGTGGTAGTGGGAATGGAAAGATATGGACAGGTGCCAGAGCTGATCAAGCAGAACTGAGAAGTTGTGATTTACTGGGTGTCGGAGAGGTAGACAGAGTGTTAAAACTTACATTTGGGTACAATTCACCAAAAAAAGAAGGCTGAAAGATAAGGAGTGGAGGTGAGGGAACAGTATAAAGCTTTCCCTTTTAGACATGAAGACATTATGAAACCTTGAAACATGACTCATTAAATTACAGGAATCGATGAGAATTTCCCAATGCTCATTGTGAATTAGGGAAAGCATCAATCAATTCCTGCTGAAGTTGTGGTTTGCCAGATAGTGCAAAATAGAAGAAAAACCTCCAAAGCCTAGTAATGAATAAAATAATTACTCTATGTTATAAGTTCTATAAGACATAATAAGAAAGCAGAAAGGGGACTGATTTTTAAGAATTATTCTCAATCTCTACCTTCTTTAATTCTTTCAGCCAAAACAAAGATACAATATTTTATGGCCAAAGACCAAAATAACTAATACTAACATTGTACTTCCATGTGCCTTTCTACTGACAAAGCTAATTTCTCTCTTAAAAAGGATTTACTTTGATAAATTTGATCAATTACACTATTTGGCAAGTCTGAAATCTAAAAATAATTATGAAATTCAAATAGGGCTATTTACTAAGTATCTCAGGGAGGAATTTTTCTAGATAATTGGATCTAGGAAAAAGTACAGTGAAGAAATACAGCTAATTGTCCTTAAAGCCAGGACAATTAGTTAATCCTCACCCGAGGATATTTTTTTTCCCTTGATTTTTTTTAGAGGGAGGAAGGAGGGAGGGAGAGAAACATGGACGTGAGGACACACTGATTGGTTGCCTCCCACATGTGCCCCAACTGAGGCTGGGGATCAAACCTGTAACCCAGGTATGTGCCCTTGACCAGTAATTGAACCCACAACCCTTCAGTGCAGGGGGCTGACATTCTAACCACTAAGCCACACCGGACAGGGCTAAAGCCAGGATTTTAAGCATAATATGTAATCTATAAAAGATACAGGAAAAGAACAATAAAGATACTGACGTAGAAAAGCAACAGGGAAAAGAGAAAAAACTAAGTTATATCCTGAAGAAACAGGTTTAGAAAGCAGACATGAAAGGAAGCAGAGGGAAGCAAGAGTGTCAGAATATTGAACAGCAAAGAATTTTTATCTATAGTAAATTGGTTCTACCCCATATACAAGAAAAAACTAGTTATAAAATGCCACATTTCTTTAAGTTCAAATTTTATATAGTGCCTATATAAACCATTTTTTTCTTTCCATAAGTACTCAGTCAGGCTTCAACAACAACAAAAAATTAGCATCCTGAAAAAACTGGCAAACTATTAAAAAAATCGTATTTTATCAAACCATCTGTTTACCTAGTACAGAAGGTCTGCCACCACTTGCTGGTGATTCTACCTCTTGTATAGCACTAAGTTCATGTTGGTTCAAGTCCAATCCACATTTAACTTTTGCTACAGGTGGCTTTGAGGCTCTCCTACCCAGTTCTTTGTTCAGATGCTCACCTATCAAGTCAATGATAAAGTTAGGCAGAATACAATCTATTAATATACTACAAACTTCTCTTTAACCAGCAAGTTGCAAGAAGTGAAAGCAAAATATAATCAGCGAAATAATTACAATGAAATCCAATTATCTTACCACACTGCTTGGTACTTACCTTCTGAAAGCAGCTGATTATCATCAGAGTTGCTCTTATCTGCAGTACTCATGCTTCCATGATCATCTCTTGTTTGGTCTTGGAGAAGAGGAAGCCACTCTCTGAGCATCTGGGGATTTAAGTCCTTTTCAAAAGTGGGTTTGCTTGTCTGAAACAGTGGACAGATGAGGGTGGGGATGACACACTGGATAAGGGATCATTCAAAGCATTCGTTAGACTTGTATCTCCCTTTTAAATTACAACATCAACCAAATAAACAGTTCACACTATATTATCCATACATAAAAAACAAGAAAGGCCTCTAATATCAAAAGGCTGATATATTTCCATTGGAAAGTACAACCACTCACAGCCTTTGACCTAAAAACTTAGCCTCCATTGTACATTTCAATAAGACTTTACTTGAATATCCCCCTCTGCTTTTCCTTCAAAATGACCAGTTAAGTCCCTAAAACTCAAATTCTCACAAACTCAACTCAAGCTTCTTCTGAACATCAAAGATTTACAGAATTCTACTTAGGCTAACTCATAAATTTTGAAAATAGCCTTTTAAAGTAAAATGGAAAAATTCATATTTTGGAGAATATACTCTTATCTCCCCTATAGAGAAGCTATGAATGTCTGAGTGACTGTGCTAGAGTATTCTTTATAATTCAGTGACAAGCAGCAGGTCCAGCTGTCCATCAGCCTAAAATCATGCCGTTTTACAACAGGTGTTAATACTGTCACTTAATGAAAAAAAGGGTACTGATTTTGATTCACATACAAATATCAACAAAGTGCTATACAGAAAGCACAAGGTCTGCTATTTGTAGAAGACAAATTCTGCTAACGTGTTATTTTATTTTACAATTTATTCTTCTTATAGTAAGCTCAAAATCCTTTATAACAAAACTTCAAATGACAATCCACACTTTTAAGAGTGTTTGCATTTGGCTGTATCAAACTACTGGCTGAAATCAGCTGGGTTTCAAATAACTATTAACTTGATAAACACCATTTGAGATAGTGTTTATGTTTTTGTTTAAGGTAGAAAATTAAAGCAGTTAATGTTAAACTGTTTACTCTCAGTAAGAACTTATTTAGGCCCAAGATGAAAACATTAAGCTTGTCTGAGTCGGGTCAGCTCCACTGGTTAATTCTTAGACATTCAAGTTTCATACATACCTGACTGTTTTTTAAGAAATCCTTCAAAGTCTCTTGGTGTTTCTGTATCTGCTGCTGCAATGCTGTCTGTCTGTGTACTAGCAGCTCTTCTTCTTTTTGCAGATCCAACTGCTTCTGAAGTCCCAAGTTATCTTGCTGGGCTACAACAGGCTGTGAAAAACTCCAAAGTCTACCTTGGAATTTTGGGGCCATAGAATTGCTTGAAGAAACTGCATGTTCATTCTTGGATGAATCCAATTCACAAATGTCTTTATATGTAACTTCACCAAAAGGTAGTGAAATAAATGAATGCTCTCTCTCCTTGGGTAGAAACAAAGAGGGAACAGCATGCTCAGAAGATCCACTTTCAATCAACTTACTTTTTTTGGTTAAAAGTAGATCTTCCTGGGCCTTCTCATCAGAGTGCACCACTTCCCTTTGCAAGTCCAAGTGTGCTGTCAAATGAACTTGCTGAGGGAGAACAGGCTGTGAGAAACTCGAAAGCCTATCCTGTGATCTGAGGACCACAGGATGACTTGAGGGTGTAGTATTGGTACTTCTGCTTGGAAAAGACTTTTGGATTCTTTCAGGGTCAACAACAGGCAATGCTACCTGTGATAAAGCTGAAGAGGGGCTAGCCTGCTCAGATGATAACCCTTTCTCCAACTTACCTAGTCTTTGCAAAAGCAATTCTTTTTGGACTTCAGGTCTAAACTGAATGGCTTCCCTTTGTATATCTAACTGCTGCTCAAGTACCATCAAATCATGATGGTGAGGTTGAATAAAATGCTCAGAAGATAACTTTTCCTCAAATTTATTTTGTCCGGGCAATATAACTTGTGGAACAGGCTGCGATAAACCCAAAAGGCTATCAGGCAACCTTGGTATCTCAGAATGACCTGAGGATGTATAACTCTCAGTCAGGCAAGGTTCTTGGATTCTATCAGATTCAGTAAGAGGTGGTGAAGTAAATGAACGTACGCTTAGGGGTAAGGAAGAGGTGCCAACCCGCTCAGGAGATCTCATTCCTTCCCTCCGCTCACTCTGTTTACATTCTTTCTGGGCTTTTTGCCTAGATTGAATGATGGCTTCCCTTTGTGCAGCTAATCGTTCTTGAAGCGCCTTCAAATTATCTTGTTGAGGCTGGATAAGTTGTGAAATCCTCAAAAGCCTATCCTGCAACTGTGGGATCTGAAAATGGCTTGAAGGAATTTTACCATCACTGTCTGTGAAAAGAGGTTCCTGGGCTATACCAGATTCAGAAGGCACTGAAGTAAATGAAAGCTGTCCTAACTGGGGCATGAATGAGGAGGAACCAGTTTGTTCAAAAGGTGTATTTCCTTGGGGTTTCTGGCTAAATTGAAGGGCCTCCTTTGTGTCTAGCCATTGTTGGTGCTCCTCCAAATTACCCTGTGAAAATCTCAGAAATCTTTCCTGAAATCTTGGGACCTCAGAATGCCTCAAGGAACCTGCACTGCCACTTGACAGAAATCCGCGGCATCTTTCAGATTCATCTACCTGCAATAAGGGTAAAGAGGTGCCAGTCTGTTTGGAAGAAATTCCGTTTTCTAATTCACTTTGTTTGTGTTCAAATTCCTGAGTTTCCTGTTTAGCACCAGTTATTATCCTTTGTATGTGTGACTGTTCTTGGAGCGTTGTCAAGTTTTCTTGCAGTGGAAAACTGAGAGGCTCATCCTGAAATTTTGGGATCACTGAGTAACTTGCAGGAATAGTACTCTCCTTCTCGGACAAATAAAGGTTCTGAATTCTTCTAGGTTCCGTTTTAGCAGAAGCTTGCAAAGCAACTGAACGTTGGGCACTCATCGGTGGGAATGAAGAACTCATCTGTCCAGACTTATCGTCCCCCAAACCCCTTTGTCTACGTAAAAGTAATTCCATCTGGGCTGCGTGCCTAGCCTGAAGAGCATCCCTCTGTGCAGTCAGCTGCTCTTGGAGCAACTTCAAACTATCGTGCAAAGGTAGGAACTGCTGCAAGAAGCTCAAAGAGCCATCCTGAGATTTGGGGATTTCAGATTGGCTTGAGAGAAGTCTCTCCTCACTCTTAGATGAATACTGCTCCTGGATTTTTCCAGATTGAGTACCAGCAGAAACTAATGAAGTAAATGTATTCTGAGCTACCTGCGAGGGGAGAGAAGGTGGCTCAGTCTGTTTAGACAATACTCTTTCATCCAGCTCACCCTGTTTATGTACACACAATACTTCCTGGGCTTCCCGTCTGGCCTGAAGGCTGTCCCTCTGAATATTTAACTGTTCCTGAAGAAATTTCAAATTATCTTGCTGTGAAAAATCCAAAGGACTATCCTGAAGTCGTAGGGCCCCAGGATGGCCTGCAGGAACTGCAGTATCATTCTTGGATGGAGAAGATTCCTGGATTCTCCCTGATTCAACTTTGGCAGAAGGCACGGAAGCAAATGAATCTAGAGGTACCAATGGAAGGAATACAGAGATGCCGGTTTGCCCTTCAAATTCTTTCTGTTTGCCCAAAAGCAACTGTTCCTGGGCTTCCTGTCTGGACCGCAGAACTTTCTTCTGTAGGTCTAACTGCTCTTGGAGAGCCTTCAAATTACCTTGCTGGGCTGTGATGTTCTCTGAGGATGGCAAAGACTTACCCTGACTTTGGCTGATTACAGAATGGCTTAAGGAAACTGCACTTTTGCTCATGGTTGAAAAGGGTTCCTGGATTTTTCCAGATTCAACGTCAGTAGGAAGAGAAGTACAAGAATGCTCAGCTACCAGTGGTAAGAATGAAGAAGGTTCAGTTGGCTTGGCAGATGTATTTTCATTGTTCTCCGAGAACATTTGCTGGGAGTCTAAAGTTTCAGCTACTTCACTGGCATGCTGCAGTATTAGGGGCCTATCATGTGATAAAGCCCTTAAAAGTATATGAGAATCTTTAGGGACTGCTTTAGTGTCTCTCTGATATGTTTCAGTCTGTGAAAATTGCTTTGGCTGTTCTTGTGATTCCAAACATTTCTTGGCTAAAACATCTGTTTCTGTTGTTTCTACCTGTCTCTGTGGAAAGTGATTTTGTCTTGGAATCTGAAAAAAATCTTGTTCTAATCGGGGGATCTGTGTTAGCTGTATAGGTTGGTATTTGCTAGGACTCAACTTGGGTCTCTGACCTTGATCCCAATGTTCTGATATAAGAGTCTGTCTTTCAGATTTCCATGGTGGGACTGATACAACAGAATCAGAAATCAATGATGCAGCTGGCATGGATGGGTACTTTCCTTTTAACATAGTCTGATATTCAAGTAATTGTTTCCTGGCTGTTTCAACAGACTGTCTATGAAACCTACCAAAAATAAACACAAAAACAAAACAAATATTACTATTTTTAGATTTTTAAAAATGCTCCATATTCTGAAATGCCTACACATTAAATTCAACAGCAATCTAGGATGGGCCAGAATCATGGTGGAAAAGGAATAATGTTCACATTGCCCTTAAAGAAATCTACATGCCACAATTCTAAGGGAATCCTGATTATATCTTCATATAAATAATAAATCCTGAATATGTAGTCACACAATATAACACATGAACTGTACCCTAGCTAATACCTCTTTTGCTGTAAAAGCTGATGTTGGTAGTTTCGAATCATTCGCCTATGGCTATCTTCATCAGAACTTATGGCGCATGATACTGGAGCAGTGCCAACCTAATAAAAGACAAAGCTACTAATTAAAAAGTAAATCTAGAAACAAGTACTAAAGTATTTAACATGAACTGAAGTTCTATAATTAACTTCCATAGTTTTACTTTTTTATATAAAAAAAGACTGGCCCTTCCACTATTAAGAAACAAAATTATCTACCATTCTCTTTTAGTGCCACCAAGTCCAAGAGCTCGAAATATCCATTACATACAAATTATGGTCACATACATACACACTCTAGAAACTCAAAGATGAAAGCCATTAGGTTTGTATAAACTTATTTATTTATATTTATTTTTACATATATGTACATTATTAAAAGAAAAAAAATACCAAATTAAGAATTAGAAATGCATTTTTCTGAATGCTAAGATTGCTTATATTTTCTTATCCCCCAATGATCTATGTTGGGATGAGATTTTCCCACATCCTACCTCAGTCTGTTGAGTTTTCTTTCTTTTTTCTTCTTCCAACTGAGCCCGGAAGCAATCAGTTTCTAATCTTAACTTCTGTTTTTCAATTTGTTCAAGTAATTCCAATTGCTTTTGTTTCTGCTCTTCTATTTCCATTATCTACGTAACAAAAAACCTATTGAACTATTAACAAACTCACACAAAAGTTTAGAGTATGAATTACACTGAAAAGAGACAGGTATCATCACCAACAGTACCAATTATCCTAAAAGATTATCTGTTATTACTGCTGCCAGAGGGAGGAAGGAAGGTAGAGATGAGAAAAATGGAAACGGAGAAAAAGGGAAAGAATTTTTATTTACTTACTTATTTATTTATTTATTTTATTAATATATCTTTATTGATTTCAGAGAGAGGAAAGGAGAGGGAGAGAGAGAGAGACAGAAACATCAATGAGGAGAGAGTCATTGATCAAGCCCGCAACCGGGCATGTGCCCTGACTGGGAATCGAACCTTGATCACCTGGATCCTAGGCCGACGCTTAACCGCTGAGCCACGCCCGGCCGGGCAGGGAAAGAATTTTAAAAGAGGCAGAAAGAAGAAAAAATAAACACATAAACTATTTCTATTTCCTGGGAGCACAAGGAAACTTTGATGATCACTGAAGCCACCTCCAGAGAAGCAGCAAACAATGCTTGGCCAAATTCTGTGTTCATATCTTTAATTATACAATGTGCTCAGTAAGAAATGACAAAGAAATTAAGTATCAAGGCCTCCCCATAAAGGGGTGCAATTACCTAGAAGCCAAATAGTAATACAATGAGAAATATTGCCAGGCATGAAATAGATGGTCAGACAAAGGCACTGGGATGACACCTACACCCTAATGTTATACCAACACATACACAGAACCAAGTAATAAGAATGACCAAGTGTCATGAGGACAAGGACTGGACTAGTCTGGTTGCCTGCTAAATCCAGCACCTTATAAAGTCCCTGACACATATGTAATACATAATAAATATTATCTGAGTAAGTAGAAAAATGAATGTATGTGAAGTTTTATTAAGAGGAATACTTTTATTAGAGGTAATAAAAATGATCTTGCTTTCAAAATTAAAAAATATCTCAATCTGAAATTTTACCTATTTCTAGTCAGGCAATAGATAAAATCAGTAATTAGTCAGGCTACAGAGAGTTCCTATCTTCCTCTTCCTTACTTTCCCTCACTCATAGGAGACATGGAATTGAGCTGTTTACAGTTCTGTAGTACCTCTAGAACAGCATTGTCAATACAAAAGTTACTAGTTACATGTGACTATGTAAATTAATTCAAATTAAGTAAAATTTAAAACTCAGTTCCTCAATTACACTAGACATATTTCAAGTATTTAACAGCCCTTGTAGCTATCAGTACCATACTGGACACAGATATGGAACACTGCCATTACCACAGAAAGTTCTGTTGGACAATAATGCTTTAGAATACTGATTTGAAAACATTTATTTGAGAAGAAATACTGGATCATAGAATTTAACTATGCAGTAGTATTTTTATAAAAACTGTAACTATAAACTGACTAGCTTAGTAATAATCAGCCTTTTTCAAGGTAATTTGTATTTTAAAAAGTCTTTTACTAAAGTACATGGGACCAAAATTGTAGTTAAGGAGGTTGAATTTAAACTTTTCTTCTGAAATACTATTTTTCAAAAAAACCTTTAAGATTACAAAGCTCAGCCAAGTACCCAATATTATGACAGGGACTCATTTATTCAAGAAATATTTATTAAACACTTACTATGCATAAGGCATTGTACCAGAAACTATATAGAATAAATTAAATTTTTTAAAAAGTCTCCAACTTTAAAAAACTAATAAATTTTATAGGAAAGATAAGATACATACAAAAGTATAAAATACGAAGCAGAAACCATAAGGGTCAAATGTGTAGTATATGTGAAGTGCCTTCTATCAGCTGAATGTGTAAGTCAAGGTAGAATAAATGGTATTAAATGTAGCCAGTCATTAAGACAAATTTCACTGGTCAAACAAAATTATAGCACTTTGGGGAACAAAACCTTTAAAAATAAAAATTTCAAATTACCTGTTTCTGTCTTGCTGCCATTCTAATTCTGGCTGCTGCTTCTTGAGGATGGAGAAGAACTGAACTCTGAGCTACAGCTGTGATAGGCTGGGTCTCATTTATTTCTAGGAGGATCCCCAAAACAAAAATCAGTTTTAATAATTTAGAATTCTGACACCACTCTAATGCTCTTTATTCATTCATTACATGTAATTTTATTAGGAAAAAGATTTGAGGAGCCAAGCAAGTTTGAGAATGTAAATTAAAAAAATACCTTGTTCCATTTTAGAGTCTGCATCACAAGAAACTGATTGATCTTCACTAGTAAGTGGTCCAGAGTCAACTGTTAGCATATCACTTTCAACTGTAAGAGATATATTATTATGAACATATTATCACTGTCAAACTCAAGTCTGAACAAAATAACAAAAACCTGCATTCAGATTAACAATTCAATCTTGGTATACCTGAATGTCTTGTTTAAGATCCAGTCACCTTCCAGATGACCACATATTTTATACATTAAACTTGAGCCTAATATAAAAAGACAGATGGAAGACTAAATTTGTTAAAAAACAAAAAAGGGAAAGAATGAAGGAGAACCATTCAGAAGCCATGCTCACATCTTCAAACACAATGGGAGAGCATGAAAGGGGGATAAGCAAGGCATCAAAGTCTAAAGAGAAGCTTAAGAAACTTAAATGTATCTGACGTATTTAGACATTACAATTTTTATTATTTATGAAGCCACAGAAGAAAGTTAGCAATCATATCATGGTAGCCAGCAACTGCATCAAGCATTCATTCATTCATGTACTTATTCATTCAGCACCTACTTAAGTGCTGCATGTTGGAGACACTGTGGTAAATTAGAAATGGCCTCAAGGAGGTTTTACAGGGTGAGTAGGAACGTAAACGTTATATAATTTTCTGAGAAAATAATATATAAAATTAGAGACTATAAGTACTATATAAGAGAAACAGAGTTTTGCAATAGGGTATTACAGGGGAATCTGAATTACACTAGGGGCTTGGATAAGATTTCTTTTAGGAAATGACACTTAAGCAGGCACCTGAAAGGTAAGAAAGAATCAGCTAGATAACCAAGTATTAAAGCCCTGAGGATAAAAACTTGGCTCATTCAGGGAGCTGAAAAAGGATCAATGTACATGGGGTGTAGTTAAACAAGGGGGAAAATGAAGCAAGATGGGGCTAGAGAAACCCTACGCACGCAGGCCTTTTGCAAAATAACCTGTTGTGAACTGAGATGAAAGAGCCCCCTTTCACTGCAACTCTGCTGACCACTCCTTTGTACTGCCTTTGCTGTTCTCTAGCCATCTTCTAAATGCTGGAGTCCCTCAGATGATATTATAAATCCTCTTTCACTGAATTCTAAGAATAAACACACAATACAGTATACTCAAAAGCTGCTAACATGTTCATCTCCTTTGATTCTTTCAAGAGTTGTTCCTAAGGAAATAATTTAAAATATGGGCAAAGACTTTGCTAAAAGAATGCTCACTGCAGCACAAGTAACAAGAAAAATCATAAACAGCCTAAATGTCTCAACAATAGGAAACTGGTTAATTCTGGTTCACCAATGACACTGGAACTCTCTCTCTCTCTCTCTCTCTCTCTCTCTCTCTCTCTCACACACACACACACACACACACACACACACGTATGTGTATACACATGTAATATTACTACACTGAAAGTGGTCTGGAAGAGAGTCACTAAAGTTTTCTTAACGTTTATTGCCTTTAAGTAGCAGCGTTTTGGACTCTAAAACGTTTTCTTGCTTTTGACCTATTTGATTTTTCAGGAATTAGCATATGTGCAAATAACTTAGAAAGGGTGTGCGGGCTACAAAATAAAGACGACTGGACAGACCCACCTTGTTCCTGCCCAGAGGACAATGTTCCCTCTTCAATAGCAGTTGTTTCTGATTCAACTGTTGGTTCTTTACTCTCAGTTTCACTAACAGCCGTAATCGTTTCACTTTCATCCTCAGACATGGATTTAATTGTCCAGAGAGATTTTTGGTTTCGGATCTTATTTAATAATTTTTTGAAAAGAATTTTTGAAGGGAGCTGCTGGGTCTTCATTGCCAAGGGAACTAAAAAAAAACCACACACCACATATTCAGCACCTATTGATATACCTGATATTATTCTATCTTTATACTTAGCTACAGCTACAACTACCAGTTAAAACAAAAGCATAACTTTATTTTCCTCACTTTATAATTTAATAGTATGTACAATGCTTTTCAAACCCAATCAAAATTTTATAACCAGGAATAATTTTTTTAACTTATATCTAAATAAAGACACCAAAATCAAACTACTTCCAACAATATGCATTCAACACAAATTTCCAGCTTAAAAACATATCAGGAACATGTTTATTCTGCTTGTTAAATGACTACAGAATACATACCTCTTACTTTGTAATGTTAACTTCGAAAATATGTGCTGTAAGGTTCTATACTCTATGCTAGAGAAGGGTAACAATTACGGCTCTGTACTTAGTAGGCTATAAAGAAAAACATAACTAGTTATAACCTTAAAAGCAAATCAGATGCTCCCAAATTATTCTTGGAACTATCTGGGAAAATTTCTCCCACTTATTATCATCATAAAGAGATCCCTATAGTTAAAAATTCTTAAGTTGTTTCCTCAAAACATCCTTCCATACAGGCTGATAGTGCAATGCCAAAATTCAGTACAGTACTAACATTCTCTAAGGGGACAAAACTGTGTTTCGAATACATAGTTCTCTGACTTAAATTTAGCCTGGCTGGTGTGCCTCAGCTGTTTAGCATCAACCTATGATCCAGGAGATCCCGGTTTGATTCCTGGTCAGGGCACATGCCTGGGTTGTGGGCTCAGTTCCCATCAGGGGGGCATGTAGGAGGCAGCCAATCAATACCTTTCTCTCTCTCTCTCTCTCTCTGAAATCAATAAAAAGACCTATTTTTTAAAAATTTAAGAAATCTATAGAGGTTGAAAACTGGCAGACTGTAGTTCTGTTTCACCCATAGTTTTCTTTAAACTTTGAGTTATAACTTACAAATAAAATACACAAAACCTAAGTGTGCAGCTCAGTGAATTTTACATTTATCTATGTAACACCATCCAGAGCATTATGTGAAACATTTCCAGCATCTAGAAAACTCCTTCATGTCCCTTCCAGTCAATATACCCCTAAAGATAACCCCTGGTCTCTACCTTGATACCAGATTAGTTTTGCCTGTTCTTCCCTTTAACTTCATATAAATATGGAATCACACTTAGGCATTCTTTTCTGCCTGGCTTCTTTCACTCACCATTAGTCTGTGACTAACTCACTTTTTAAAAAATAAATGGCAAATATTTAAAAATAAGGGCCTTATAAACAACAGTATTCCTAGCTTCTTTTGAAAAATCAGGAGTTGGCAACATCGAGCCAGCAATCCCAAATGGGATTAACAGGAGCTGAAGAGTCACTGTCCCTTTAGATAGGGCAAGCCTTGGAACTCTGATAAACTACAGATCTGAATGATATTCCCAATGAAAACAACTCAAAGAGCTGGATGAAACAGTAAAGTATATTCTTAAAAGCACTGCTGATCTGGCAAGAAAATAAAAGATTCTGCAGAGGCCAGAAATGAAGCTTAAGTGGGAATTCTGGAAGGCAAGTGAGCCCTGAAACCACCTTCTGAAGTTTATGCCAAACCATAATAACCTTACACTCTTATTTGGACAGCAGTGTGGGCCTAGGGCCTTCACCCAAGGAGTCTAAAAGGAGACCCACATATAGTTACCTATCCAGTGTAGGGAGGAAATGATGAGAAAGCCTGAGTGGCTTTGAACAAAGGCCATACTAGTAGGTATGGGGGTAAAAAGAGGTCAAAATGAAGAGAATTTGGTCCCTAAGGCGATGGAGAGTAAAAGAGAGGGGGGTGTTAGAGGTAACTCATCAGTCTGACTTGGGTAACTGCAGGATGAAGAACAGAAGACAAGGTTTCAGAAGAAAAGAGAAGACGATCTGTTTACTGTTAGGACACTGAGTTTTACGGACCTGTGAAAAGGTTTAGAATTGTGGAGACAGGGATGAAGTTTAGGAGAGAGAGATAAGGGTGTGCTATTCATCACTGCACATAAAGTGCCTGTCCATAATTAACACAGTGGGATCTCTTTGGTGATTTGATGAAAGTCTAAAAAATGCTGAGCTTTCAAATGAATTCAGAATTAAGCATCTAAACCAAATAACCTAAAAATCTTCAGACGATATGTATATATGAATAAAAGAACTTTCCTCCTATATATGTAACAAGGATTGTTCTTTAGTAATGGAAATCTGTACATACTGTTTCCTCCTTCCATCATTCCTATTTGCATTAGTCACCGTCTGCACTCAAATTAGATCAGACTTTTCTAACTGTTGGTGAATGATTAGCATTTTGTTCTATGAAACACTGTAATATTCAATTCTGAAGAAGTTTTTACCGTCTGCTTCACTAGGACATATTGTTTCAGCTTCTGTCACTGGAGGGTTTTCAGTTTCACCTAAATTTTCTTGTTCCACTGAAAGGTCCAGATCTTCGTCCTGGATCTGATCGGTCACAGTGGGCAAAGGCTCTGGTTCAAGGTGCAAAATCAGGTTTCCTTTCACCTCTCAATAAAGAAATACAGAGACATATTTTCATTCCAAAATGACTAAAAAGAACTTGAGCATAAAAATTTAAAGGCCATTATAGTTTCTAAGTCTAAAATATGAGGTCCTCTTTCAAACAGACAACTCATTTCAAAATAAAAACTGCTTCATCAATATAAATGTATTTTCCCACCAAAATCTTTAAAAGCATTGTTGAAAGTTTACTGAAAATATCTTACTCCTGTCTGCATTGTACATGTCTTCAAAGGCAAACTCTAGCTCTCTCTGCCAGTCTTCTTTCATTTCACTGCGTTTGTATGGAAGTGCAACTAGTTGTGGTGGCATTTGTGCTACAGTCTGTCTCCTACGTGCCAGGTCCTCTTGCTGTAGCTGTTTGAGTTCTTTCATTAGTTTCTCTTGATTCTTCAAGAATAAAGAGAATTGATTAACAACAGCCGAGTCACAAACTTTGGATAATAACACTAACAGTGAAGGAAAAGTAGAGAAATCATGAGAAACAGGGCCTGGGGTTCCCTCCCCTCCTCTACCATTCATTATGCCACAAAAAGACATTAATTTATTCATTCAAAAAATATTTATTGAATGTCAGATACCATTCTTGATGCTAAATATATAATCTCACCCCTAACCTAGAGACCAACAAACAGGGAATTAGTACTCTGTTAATAAGTACTCTAAGATGGTGGGTGGTACTAATTACGCCACAAAACTTCAAAAGTTATCTGCCAGCTACAGCTCTTCTTTCTCAAGACAGTCATGAAATTAGGTTCCATGTAAGTTGCCATGACTCCTGCAATATACTCGGTACCAGTTCTCCACGTAGACAACAGCATATACCAGTCTCAGGTAAGCACCAGGACCGAGAGCGACTGTGGCTTAACAGATGATACTTGTTACTTCACACTCTTAGGAATTGCCATGATTAAAAGGGATCTACATGTTTCTTTTTAAGCTTAAAGAGTCTGGCTAACTTGGAAGTTTAAGCAGGAGTTTCAGTGAGGTTATCTAACAGAATTTTGGTGGTGGAGGCTATAGAGGGAGCATAAGAGAAGACCTTCGATTCCTTGGGATGAAGATTTAGCCAGATAAAAGTGGGTGAAGGGGGAGCAGAGCTAGAGCACAAAGGTATGGAAATGAAGGCACAGGGTATTCCCAGAAGGTACGCTCTTCATTATAGACAGGACAGAGGGCAAGGATAGTCAAGGAAAAAAGATAAAGTTGAAGAGGCAAGTAGAGGCCAAACACTAATTATATTTGACACTAGCATGAAATAAGCTACCAGGGCACAATGGGGTCTACAGCAAAGAGGTTCAGACAGGAGAAAGGAAATGCTCTAATAGTAATGAGATTATATGGGTTTGATGACGTTTTCATGTAAGAGATACTAAGTCTACAAAAAAGTGGACAGCCTGGATAACAAAGTGTTTGTTGAGTGATTACATACACACACTACTTATTCTTATGTAAAGTTTTAAATATTTTGTCATTTGGAGGTGAAATTTTTTTGCTATACCCTGAAAAAGAATCAAATTATGAACAAATTAATTTCATTTATATTAAGTTTCAAATCATTTTGTTAAATTAACTTCAAAGTTATTTGATTAACTATACTATTTCTGGTTCAATGAAAGCTTGGCATATTTTTCTACTTGAATTATTTACAACAACTATCACCACCAATGCCATTTACTGTAAGCTTATGAAATTCCAGGCACAATTCTAGGGGCTTTACTAAACTAATTTAATCCTCACAAAACAGATGACAAGGTTAGGTAAACTGCCTGAGATCAAACGGCTAAGGAACGAAGGGACAAAAATCCAGGCCAACTGTGGAGTCCACTTACACTACCACTAGAACCTACTGATTTGTGGAGGAGTGCTAAGTTTACAACGCTTCCACATTTTTTTCTATAGGTTTTAGCCTTAGATGAAAATTACTGAAAATAATTCAGACATTCAGTTATTTTAGTCATAATCTATTGCCAGTTTATAAAAGCTAAAAATTTAAGGGAGAAGGTCATAATTCAATTCAAACTATACAAATTAACTTTAATAAGACAGGCATTTTACCAGTGTCACCCCAATAAATTTAAAAGAGAAAACAAGCATTTAATTCTCACAGAAGTACTTAAAAACTTCCTCAGATGAGCATTTAAAACATCCAAGCCCGGCTGGGCGTGGCTCAGTGGTTGAGCATTAATCTAGGATCCAGGAGATTGCAGTTCAATTCCCAGTCAGGGCACATATCTGGGTTGTGGGCTCGATCCCCAGTTGGGGGTGTGCAGGAGGCAGCCGATCAATGACAACTCTGTCATCATTGATGTTTCTCTCTCTCTCCCTCTCCCTTCCTCTCTCTGAAATTTATAAAGATATATTTTAAAAAAATAACTAACTAAATAAATAGAACATAAAATCAGACTTCTAAAAGGATGAATCACTTCTACGCTGTTTCAAGAATAAACACTTGCTGAATAGGCCTGACAGAAGTGAAGCTATCTATAAAGCCAGTTTTCATTATACATATTTTGCAGGTCTGCAACAGTCACATTTTCAAAGCTCCTTGACAACAAGGATCATGACTACCTTCGAGTCAACACTCTGCGAAGCCAACAAGTGTTCTGCTCAATCAATATTTAATAAATTGAATCCCAAAAATTTACAAAGCATAAATGAAATTCAAATAATTAGGAAAGCTATTAATTTTTTCTCAGGCTATTTTTGAACTGATTAAAATGTTTAACTTTTAATAAATTCATCATTAGTAAAAGTTTTAGAACAGCAATATACTGTAAGTGTGAACAGCTTCACCCAACCTGAATTTGAAACAAGAGGTAAAAGAAAGGTGGGAAATTTGAAGTCATATGACTCAGAGACTATACCTGCACATTCTTCACACCTCCTTACTTTGAGGGGGGAAGACCTGACTCACTAATCAGTTCTGCAATGCTGTTGGTTAAGTCTACCAGAAGTGGTCACAGGCAGAATTTAATTCTTACTTGAGCCAAATGGATCTTTTTCATTGCTTGGAAACCCCGTACATGTGCCTTTTCACTCTGTTCCATTTTCTCTTTCGCTGCTTGTTTTTGTACTTCTTCCAGTCTTTTAGCTTCTTCTTCAGCAGCCAAATGAGGATCTGGCTAGCAGTCAATCAATAACATTTTAGACAATTTAAAAGTGTAAAACAAAGAGATATCTAAAAAAACCAAACAACTTTAAAATCATGTCTTTCTACTTATATAAAATTAAATAAGAACAGTTGTATTTTTAAATGCCCACAATTATCAACAGCATGTACCTATGAGTAAGATGAAATTGTTAGTGTAAAGTTTTACAAGTTGTTCATGTCAAACCAGATTACACTGTACCAGCAATTTTCAACCAGTGCGCGGCAAGAATTTATAACATGCAGTATCTGGCTATTTAGTCAGGGACACTGAGTTTTTCCCCTTAGATTTTCAAATAAAAAGATGACAACAGCCAACACAACAATAGCCGTCCTGTGTTAATGAATCAAAATTACATCTATTTTTTTTTTGTCAGATCAGCAAAAAAAAATTTTTTCGGTGTGCTGCAGAATTTTAGTAATTAGTTTATGTGTGCCAAGAGATGAAACAGGTTGAAAATCATGGTATTATATTCATCCAACACACTCCTCCATCATTTTTTAAGTAAAGAAATCCTATGAAAACACTGAATGTTGAAAGGTAAACACCCACAAAGCTAGTAGTAAAGAAACCACAAACATGTAAGTCATTTATGAAAACACTGAGATTTGTCTTTGATTTTCAACCAAAATTTGCTGCTTGGGTTCAGCCTCAAGAAGGCCAAATCATCAAAAACACCTACTTTAATATAATTTCTGGCCTTGAGAACATATGCATAACCCATAATTATGTGATTGTAGAGTCAGCCATCATATTCATTAACATAACAATGGTGATGGGGGGGGGGAGAGGTGCATATAATCTGGATTCTTATATCTGAATATTCACTTTCAAGTACTGGTAACATTCCAAATGTAACTTTAAGTAAAAATTTTCTCATGTATTTTATATGTTGAAATTCTGTTGGTCAGTTAAAATAATAATTAATGATGGCCATGAAAGCTATTAAGTATGTATGTAAAAATTACTTAAAATTCTCAAATAGTAAAATAGGTAGAGACTGACATTAATATGTTAAGAAAGAGTACACTGTGCAAACAACTTTATAAAAAATATTATATTACTTTTGAGCCAATAAACATTTATGCAAATCTAAATATGCCAGACAAAACAAAAATTTGATTAAATCAAAATTATAATCAGCATAAAAGTATTTAGTGGATTAATATGCAAAGCTTTCCAAAAATAATCTTTAGGAACAGTATTTCATTCTATTTAGGCCATGAGGTTACAAAAAAAAAAAAAAAAAAGTTGTTTTGGAATCCTTCACTCCAGCTAAGGGTAAAAGCAGAATGTCAATTTTGGCAAACCAAAATTTTAAGAGAGAGAAAAACTTTAAAATATACAACATTCATGATTAACATGTTAAGTCCAGACACAATGAGGAATATAAAGGATATAAAGAAAATAGAGTAACGAGAGAAATTAGATACCTCAAGTTTTATTCTCAGTGCCCAAACTTCAAAACAAGATTTTATAAGAGTGCTTTAGGAATACAATCCTTTATAGATTTTGTCCATGCAATTAAAAATTTAAACAAAAATCTGGTTGAAATAACTGTTAGATTCCATTTTCAGTAGTGGAATTCAAAGGGTATGTGAAATTTGCAAAAACTGAATCCGAAGCAAAATTCTTTTTAGAAAACATGTTTCTGAAAAACTTTTTCATGAATTGTAATCTGCAGTGCACAAAATACTGAATATTATTAAATATGCTGCTTGTGCATCTTGTATATCAGACATTTGGGCAGAAATTTTTTATACTGATGAATTTAACTTTTCTCCTTTACTTGTCTGCAGACATTTCTGGGTCCCAGGGTAACCAATATAATGGCTCTGACTGGAAAAATATTTCTAGAATAAAAAAATCCATTTTTAAACTATGCAACTGTCATTGACAACGGAAAAAACATGATGAAGGGCATGAGTAATTTAGGAATTTCAAGTACATGATGTTTTGTTTAGTTGTGTGTATAGAAAGTAAATGTAGCAAAACATAATTCAGAGAATTACTGGCTCTAGCAGGAATATAGCAGGCCACTTTCATCATTCTTCAGCCAAAGACGAATTTTATGGCATACAAGGGACTTTAGAACTAAGTTATCAGGACACTGTTATCTTGCAAACCAAGCACATTATTCCATTGTCACATTTTAAACCCAAGGTTTAAGGACAGAGTTTTCCTGAGTGACAGTGTGAAGAAGCAAATAAAAGAAAATAACAGAATGCTTTGGTTTGTGCACCTGCTTTTATAAAACTGTATTATAACGACTGATCCAATCTTCAAGCCTGGAAATTAAAGAGTAGGTAGGTCTTTCAGTTACTCTCAGAGGAAAGCTGGAAAGTTTAGTAACTTACTCTAACACCATCAGAGGTATCCCTATACTAAAGCTAGGCAAAAGAAAAAAAAAGTCTTTCATCAATCTTAATTGAAAGGCATCTACTTAATAATACAAAAATGAAGTATAGTAACCACAAGAGCAAGGTAGCAAAAGACTGAAATTATTGTTCCAGCATTATAATATTGAAGTTGTGATGATCATTTATGATTTTAAATAAATCTCAAGATTTAATCTTATGATGACAATACTCATTTTAGGTCTTGACCGAATACTGATTTTAACACCTGCTACTGAGCAGTCAACCAAAATGGGTATTTGCTGCATCCTAAACTCCAAATGAATGCTATATCAAGAAAGTTTATTTTCCTAGCAGCTAAATATATCCATGAAAAAAATTAAAACCCACCATTACAAAGAAATAGCAATTATAATAATGAGAGATCATTTGTCATTCTTAAGAGTGGCAAAAAATTTTAAACCATAATATTCCATACAGCCTAGGGTATAATAAGATGGCCTTTCTCATACATTGTTGATACTTTTTTAAAAGGCAATTTAATGACTCATATCAAGTATTTGTTATCTAATGTCACATAGTTTGGAACCAATAATTTCTGTTCTAGGAATCTGTTCTAAACATACAATGAGATCTGTAGACAAAACTGTACATTATTATTATGTTTGCATAATTTACAGAAGAAATAGAACAGAAAAATGGTTAAATTCTATGATAAAATATTAAGTATTTGTCAAATGCCATATTTTAAAAACTGTGTGTATGTTTATATATATAGACTACAATGAATTCATTAATGTGTTAACCATATTTCCTTTTGGTAATGGAATCATAGGTGGTTTTCCTAGTTTATGCTTGTGCGCGTAATTCCAAAATTTTCACAAAGAGCATGCATTATTTTTTTGATATAAAAGTTTTAAAATTTGCTATTGTAAAATATAACCACCCAACTCGCCAACTCCTTTCATTCGTATTAAACCTCATTCATATTAAACGTGACATGAAAATTCAAAGCATATTTGAAAGATTTTTTAATCATTATTACTCTGTGATGGTTAGTAGAGTTGTTCAAATTTTGACACCTCAGAACAACAAACATAGAACCAAGATATAACTCAAGTCAACGAACAGAGAAATAATAAAGTGAGGGACATGACCCGATATTAAGTCAATCACCTGTTTGGTGTCTGTCTCTCTATTCACGAAAGTGCAAAGATGATGGTAGGTAGAACTACTGGTTTTCATATTAGAAATTCTCTTTACTTCAACGTTCTGAAAAATGGAACACAGAAAATAGATTGTTAGGTTAAAGCATTAATTTTCATTTAAAGCTGGATCCAAAACAAAAAAATTATATTTCATCAGTTATCCTTATTTTTTTCACATGGGATCATGCCCTGTATTTCCATCAAACTGGAATTTAGGTTTTAAAGCTAGATTATATTTGGCAAGAATATTAAAGAGGTGATGCTGTATAATTTAATGCACCACATCAGGAGACACATAATAAGATGCTCCACTATTACTGATTCTAAGTTTGATCATTTGGTTATGGTGGTTCATGCTCACTGGTAAGAGGTTAGTTCTCTTTTCTTTTTTCAAACAGAAGTAGGCCAATGAATGAATGTAGGAGGATGATAGACACCTGTCTGGTGCCAAAGTATAGCCTCTCAGATAACTTGGTAATTGAAAAGAGAAATGTACCTTTATGATGGATATCTCTTATAGTCACCACCATAACCATGCCAGACATACAGAATATGAGAAACGAGTCTAATCTCTTCAAAGTAGTTCTGTCAAAGTCTAAAATAAAAGACTTGACTAGGGTTGGGGGAGATGATGTTCTACATTGAGAGAGACCAAAGAGACCAAACATGCAGAAGCAATAGGTGAACCTTGACTTGGGTCCTAGTCAAAAAAAAAAAAAA